TGAACTGCATTATTTTGTGTATTAAATCTATTTGAGTTTGAGTCTATTGAAACTTTTCTTTACTCTTATTAACCCCTGCTCATTGTTAGCCTTGGCCAAGATTTTGAAGTTTTCTCTATTTCATAGCTTTTTGTAGCCCACACCTCAGTGACTGAACGTTTACGCCATCGGCGGAGTCTAACTTTCAAAATCCGGATCATTCCGGTAGATCAGTTCTAATAGCTAATAGCTGAATATTCTCTAGGTAAGAAAAGCGTTGCTAATAACGTTAATTGGAAATAGAGCAATTGAAAGATTTACTTCACTAAAGGTTTGATTGTGTTTATTATGGTTAGGGTAAACACGTGTAGATAGAGAAAATTTTACCCTCGTTCTCAGAAACACCCACCAGCACGAGTACAATAAAGTGATAATTCCTGGCCAGTTTTGAAGATCTCCGTGTGTTCATGAACACGTATAGCAGAAGTGATCATTTTCGACACTGTATTTTTTAATACATTTATGGGTTCGTTTACACTTACATAATGCAAATTTTCATGCTCTTGTATACCTGTTGTTAACGTACTGATGGTAGAACTTTTCGAACCTAAATTACACTTAGGACACCTATATTCATACAGTACAATCCATGTTTTATAGACAGATATCCGATCTTTATATTTAAAAATCCATCAGAATTAGTGCTGAGATTTGTGTTTAGCCTATAAGTTTAGTAAACCTTAAAATATTGACCAGAGCAGACAATAAACAAGGGTTAAGAAATAAAAGAAAATCGATTACTTCATAGACTCGAACCGGGGTTGTACTATTTACAAAATAGTACAGTTTGCTTATCATTGAAGTTACGAGAATTAGCGTTTTGAAGTTCATGCTTGCTTAATTATTTCTTATCATTGAAGTTACGAGTATTAGCGTTTTGAAGTTCATGCTTGTTAATTATTTCTTATCATTGAAGTTACGAGTATTAGTGTTTTGAAGTTCATGCTTGTTAATTATTTCTTATCATTGAAGTTACGAGTATTAGCGTTTTGAAGTTCATGCTTGTTAATTATTTCTTATCATTGAAGTTACGAGTATTAGCGTTTTGAAGTTCATGCTTGTTAATTATTTCCTACCAGAATTCCATTACAGTATTGTAAGCGTGATGTTGTGTTTTTATAAAACCCTGCTATTTACTTTAGAATTTATTGTAGTGAAAAAAAGTTTTTTTCCCAAAACATTCCAGATAATCGTGTAAATCGTGTAATGGGGGGGGGGGGGTCTCGTCCCTAATTTCGAAATTACAGACTATAGGTCAGTTAGCCAACAGAACCTAATACCAACTCTAGGGCGACTCTTGTCTGACCGAATTGTGGGATATAATCATCAGTCTTATAGCGCGACCACGGCCACAAAGTGCGGAGCGCGTTTTTGCAGCTATAACCTTCAGATTCCCCAGTAAGTTACGCCCGGTCAGAGATACATGTAACCATATCACCAACAACAAAAAACTGGTTAATACGGCAATGGTTAGAAAAATGAAATAATTTATTTCCTTATTATATAAAAACAATAACATACCTATCCCAGTTACAAGAGGTTTAATTGTTAGAGCATGTATGATAATATAACTGTTTTAGAGACAGGAAACAACATCTGAACGTAAAAGTAATGTAAATAATTAGATAACGCTACTATTAAACACAATCTCACTTAATATATTTTAGTAGTTTTACACACATTAAAACAACCCTCAATAAAATAAACCTTCCAAGAGTTTTATGCCAAGTTAACTCGGTAGTTTTTAATCTAAATGAGGCCTTACACTTGTATTTTGTTTATATTGTATTAGATGATGTTAAACTTGTTGTTTTTGTTTTTATAAACAGTCAGCTTGGAATCGCGAAAGCCACAGCCAAAACTTCTCTGCATCGCGATTAAATAAGTAAGGCGTGATAACTGAATAACAAGTCACTGTAACAGAATCTAAAAATAAAAGTTTGGCTAATAAAAGGTTTTTAAGCCTCTCTAAAAACACAAGTGAAACGACGGAGGCTAAAAAGTGCTATTAATTAAACTTTGAGAATTATTGTACAAATGACAAAAGTGAGCCAACAATGATCGCTGTTACACCCAAAGAAGGCAACAAAGGTGTCGAGCCAACATTTGTCTTAACTACATACCAACAATGGAAAAGGTGACTGTCTGCTCCATGTGTCAAATGACGAAAATCCTGGCAACACCAATATATTACTTGTGTCAGTATCATCAACATTTTTGAGATATGCCATGTTCCAAGTCAATTTTTCAGTTCTCTATAAAACAACAACAAAAAACAAGCATTTCGTTTACTTATTTATGTTTCACTTTATATTTAACTATATATATATCACCGTAGACCGACAAAACCTATATATATATATATATATATATCATCGTAGACCAACAAAACCTATATATCTTATTTTCTGAAACGGTTTTTTGATGACATATAGTTCAAGGCGTCAAAATACAAATTGCAGTATTGTATAAGCTAACTGTGAGAAAAATAAATTGAGTTTTAGGTATATAATCTCTCATTATTTTCGTAAGGGAGATTGTAACCCTAAAGCTGGAACAACCCAAAGAAAAGGAATAAAAATAAAGGTTTGTTACGATTTTTTTTAAAATAAAATATAACAAAAAGAGAAGAAAAACAGTAGCCTATAGCTGATTTTATTTTCTCGTCACAGAAGGCCTGGTATAGAAAATATAGATAAATGCATTATATTACTTATTGTTATGTAAATATATGTTACTTGTGGTTAGTAAGCGAGAACTTAAAAACATACGTATCAACTTAATAAGTACCCGATTTTCAATCGCTCACTAACTTTACAAAACGTGAATGTAAAATAGTCCGTCCACCCATGAATGTAAAATAGAGTCCACCTATGAATGTAAAATAGAAAGTCCACCCATGAATGTAAAATAGTCCGTCCACCCATGAATGTAAAATAGAAAGTCCACCTATGAATGTAAAATAGACCGTCCACCCATGAATGTAAAATAGTCCATCCACCCATGAATGTAAAACAGTCCGTTCACCCATGAATGTAAAATAGTCCGTCAACCCATGAATGTAATTTGATAGTAGCTAAGAGTAAAGAATTAAATATATTTGTAGAAGCTCAAACCAGCTCCAGTTGGGCATTTTCATAAAGTTATTAAGAATTTGCACACACTTCAATTAGTGCATCTTACTTATAAAAAATCATTAAATAAAAGCTCACTGAACCACTTAATTATATCACAACTTACTTTTTCTTGAAACTGTTACTAAAATCATAGTCCAATAAAAGCCAGTTTTCTAAGTGTAATAATATCATAACTTAATAGAAGTAATTTTTCTTGACACTGTTATTTGAATAACAGTTTGATATAAGCACTTTTCTAGATGTGTTATTTATATATCAGTAATAATGTACCAACTCAACAAAAGTCAGTTTTATCGGTACTATTACTCTTATTTACATCTTAATAAAAGTTTATTTTTGTTTCTATCACAACGAAAGATAA